ATCGTCTGTTGAGCCCCTCCAGAACTTGTTTCTGGACGCGTTAGTGTCCCAAGGAGCTACCACCTCTTTCGTCACAAAGGAAATCGCTACCAAATTTCCATTCTGCTCAGCCGCAGCGACTGGCGATTAAACGGAAGTCGTTACTAGTGTGCGAAACAATATTGAAGGCAACACCTACCCCCGAGGATATCCATCTTGACATTGTTGAACGAGCAGAAGAAGCTTCGAATAACGAGAGCTTTGATGTGTTGTAGCTTTGACTAACGAGCAACAACTTAGCTTGTTCCAAGGTCATGCTTACGGAAGTTCGCGCTAAACTAAATTCGGTGATCCGTTATCCTGGGCGACCTTTATGTTGTGTGGGAAAATCAGGTCATTGTATACTGTATACCGCAAAAGCCGATCAACTAAATAAACGAAAGTGTTTCCTTGATGTGTTACCGTCAATTAAATGATCAAAGGGCGGCAACTAGCTCGGTATTTGTGTGTTTTAGGTATCTCATCTTGTTTATAAAATTTTTAAATCAGGAACCTTCGTCGTTTTGTCCGCTTTTCATATCCTACGTATAATACAGGGTGTCCGCAAAGTTGGGGTTTTCCTTTACACGACGTGTAGATCTTGAAAACATAAGCAATTTTTCTTAGTATCATATATACCAATGTCTTAAGGGAACCGAGATAAAGGACTCTGCAACATATAACATAATATCTGAATACCGTCCTGTAGCCGCGACCCACGACATCACCGAGTGGTACAATGTCACTGGCTCAACCCGACGACAGAACTGGGTCGGGGTCAGTGTGTCAGGTCAGTATGCAACCTTCAATCGACGGTTACGGTCACGCGTGTAGAGGTAAACGAACCCGTATAATCGATTGCGTTTCAAAAAAAAAATAATAATAATAGCACACTCATACACCAATAATGAACTCGTTGATATGTTGTTAATTTATGGTGAATGTCTTCAAAATGCTACAGAGGTTTCGCGAGTGTATGCAGATCGTTTCCCTAGACGACATCATCCAAGGCCCCGCAGATTTGTGTACCTGGTCCAGAGAGTCAGGGATACGGGCCATTTGGAGGAATTTCGAGGTGGGCACAGTGGGAGGCCTAGACAACCACGAATGGTACAAGTTGAGGAAGAACTACTGAATCGCGTAGACGAGAATCCCTCAAAAAGCACTAGAGACGTGGCTAGAGAAGTGCAAGTATCAAAAACTAAAGTGTGGCAAACGCTGCGTGAAGAGGGGCTGTATCCGTTTCACGTTCAACGAGTACAAGCCCTTCAACCTGACGATTTTCCAGCAAGAGTGCGGTTTTGTGAGTGGTTGTTGCATCAACATGAAAATAATCCGGACTTTTTGAAGTGCATATTGGTGACAGATGAATCTATGTTCACGCGTAATGGGATGAATAACTTTCGCCACACTCATGTTTGGTCAGTAGAAAATCCGCACGCTGTCCGTCGGGCACATTTCCAACAAACATTTTCGGTGATTGTTTGGGCTGGCATGGTGAACGGTATGCTCATTGGACCATTTATTATCCCAAATCAATTGGACGGGATGCAATACCTAGACTTTTTACGCAACATTTTGCCTTCCTTGTTAGAAGATGTGCCATTAAGTGTAAGACAATCAATGTGGTTTCTGCACGATGGTGCACCGCCCCATTTTAGACGCGAAGTGCGTGAGGTTTTGAATGAATTATTTCCGAATAGGTGGATCGGACGTAATGGACCCGTAGCGTGGCTTCCGCGATCTCCAGACTTAACACCATGTGATTTTTTTCTTTGGGGAGAAATGAAACGCTTAGTGTACAAAACTGAAGTGCATACGGTTGACGAACTTCATCTCAGAATTGAACAAGCAGGTGCTTTCATTCGGGGGAGGGACTCCATTCTCACCGATGCTTGGCTACGTCGTGCACGCACCTGTGTTTTTGAATCAAACGGCGATAACTTCGAACAATACCTATAAAGTACGTTTACCTAAAAACTGAAAACGCGGCAACGCCGTCATATTTGTTACCTCTGTTCGTGGTCTGCACCACCGCCTGCGTCTGCTCGGTAGCGCATCAGCTGATTTCATTTTCTGTTGGAGCGGTATAATTTAGGGCAGAGACGTACTTACCCCTTCTCGTCAACTGGAGAGTGAGTACTTTTTCCTTTATTTTTTTTAAATGGTCGCCCTCGTTTCACTACACATTACTTTTGTTATTTCAAGGGCAGTTGTTTCTGAAAAGGACAACACCAACTTTGCGGACACCCTGTATAGTGGCGGAGATTAAACGTTTTTCATATTTTCTAGTATTTTTGCACGTAGCTCTGCCGCCATTGGGCAGATTTTGAAAAACTACAAGGCTCATTCGTCCTTGGTATAGTAGTAACCTTGTGTGGAAACTTCATCAAACTCCAAGTTATAGACGAAGGATTAGTAGACATACAGACAGACCGATAGACAGACCGACGGAAATTAGTAATATAGTTTTTCGTCATGTAAATAATTATACAGGGTGTAATGGGTAATAGGAGGGGGGCAAAACAAGTCAAAAAGTTCATACGATCCATGGTCCAAAAGTCAATACAGTTTTGTCTAAATGGCTTTATAGTTTACAACTTTAAGTGCTTTATATCGACCACAATCACCACAATCTTACTCATTTTTATAATCTAATTTAAAACGTTTTTAAATTGGGTAATTAACAAATAAATGGCATTAAATTTTTCTAAGTTAAGCCAAAATTTGTAGTCAGTAAGTAAGTAAGTTTCATTAAATTGAATACTTAAAACACACATGACAACATCGCGTCGGACATCATCACTCTTATCGAACCGGCAATCGATCGCAAACGGTAACAGTGGTTAGTATGTTGTTTTGTTTTTGTTCGCGTACGTCGTCGTGATGATTTACAATATTCTCGAATCAAGAGTTCGCCGACATGTTGTTAGTTTACGGTGAAGCTCGTCAGAATTCAAATCCTGCAGCTCAAACACATCGTGACAGATTTCGCCACCCAGACAGAAAGACATTTGTGCAAGTGTACCAAAGACTTCGAGATACAAGAAGTGTTCAGCCCACTAATACTCGCACTCGTGAAAGACAGGTTACTGTAGAGCAGGAGGAACAAATTTTAAATACTGTGGAAATCAATGCAGATATCAGCACTCGGGAATAAGGCCGCCGCGTAGGACTATCGCATACCATAGTCCATAGAATCCTACGAGAAAATTTGCTTTAACCCTACCATGTACAACGAGTGCAGGCCTTATTACCAGAAGACTATCCTCGCAGACTAACATTCTGTCAGTGGTTTTTGCACAAAAACATTGAAAATCTGGATTTTTTTAAAAATATTCTGGCGACAGACGAATGTACTTTAACGCGAGACGGGATATTAACTTTCCATAATACTTACACGTGGACCCAAGAAAATCCTCATACCATTCGTCATTTTCAACAACGATTTAAAATAAATATTTGTGCGGGCATTCTTGACGATCAGGTAATTGGCCCTTTCGAGTTACCCCCAAAGTTGCCAGGAGAAGGATACCTTAGCTTTCTAGCCAATAGCCTACCAGAACTTTTGGAACAGAACTTAGAAAACATGCCATTACAACGGAGACAGAATTTGTGGTTTCTTCATGACGGGGCACCACCACACATTTTTAGAGGCGTCACTCAGTATTTGAATGAACATTATCCAAATCGCTGGATCGGTCGAAATGCTCCTGATCCTCGAAAATGGCCAGCAAGGTCTCCTGACCTCAATCCGATGGATTTCTGGTATTGGGAAGAACTTAAAGGGATGGTTTATGGGGCTGGTCCAATAACAACTGAAGCACAACTTCGCGAAAACATTTTTAGTGCGGCTGACAACTTCGAGGACCTAGAGTAAGACGAAACTGGGTTCGTCGTAATGAAGCTTGTGTGGAAAGTGGAGGACGATATTTTGAACACCTTCTTTAAATACAAAAAAGTGCACTGTGGGTTTTAAAAAGAAAAGCAATGTAAGTATCAAAATTGTGTTCCCTATTTATAAGTGGATTTTTTTAATACCTTCAATAAACTTTCACACACCAGGTGGAGCGCTGAGACAGTTAGTGGTAAGTCCGTTTTTTTTAATTGTTTGCATTTTACGAGTACATTATCAAATAATGAAATGATACCTAAGAACCAAAAATAACAAACTCCATCTTTATTTAACTGCCTTCCATCGTAATTTGCATCTGGCATTGCGGTGTTGTCAGATTTTATTTTAAATAAAGTCGCTTTTCTCTAAAAGAATGCCGTTTTGACCCCCATGTTATATGAAACTTTTTGCTTCTTCTAACACATTCTTTCACTCATTTAAATAATGACTATCATAACGTTTACACCCTGTATTTATGCAGTTTTTTACCCGTAGTAATTGGAACTTAAAACAATCTGGATAAATATAGCGAGGCCATAGAAGGCCGAACCTTGTGCATGGGCATAAGCGCTTAAGGAACAGTATTCTAAATACAGATAAATGCTATAGAAAAGTCCTTAGCAATAGCCACTATATTTACATTTAAAATCTGTATAATGTAAGTCCAAAAAAAGCAAACAATTATAAAATGAAGCACAGAACAACGTTTTATTTTGTTCATAATAAACACACTTCTGCAAACAGTAAAACTTGGAAGAACTTAGAAATTACAGTATATAGAAACATATTCAAAGAGATACTCATGACACATTTGAACAGTATACATGTTTTATAGAACTTAGTAGTAATTAGACATAATATACATTCTCACGTCTCTTTTAAACCTATCGATATGTCTTTAGCTCTCTAGTAGGTTATACGACCTAGGGGCAAGAATAGCGCAACATCGCTGGATGACATCCAAAACGACTAAATTTTCCGTTCATTGTCTCTAATTCGTCTCGATCAACAGCGATGCTTATGAACCTTTATGTCATTTTCTTATATTGCCTTCTTTACTAGTTCAGGAGAAAATAAAACCCCAAAATTGTATAAAATCATTTAATTGTACATTATGGCATAATATATGGCATTTTTGTCTACTAGTATCACATCACAATTTTAACTACTCAGTACCACCCATGCGAATGCGCATGAACAGCAAACGGAACTGGCCTCCTAACAACAACTGGCGCATGTACTGGCACTGGTACTGCCTTGTGAATGTGAACTGGGTAGGGTTGAGGAACAGCAACTTTGTATGGCACAGCAACTGGTACTTTAACCAGTACCCTAACTGGCACAGGAACTGGCCTCTCTACCGCCACTGGGACGGGCCTGTCGACAGCGACTGGAACTGCTCGAGGTACTGCCACTGGGTAGGGACGATCAACTGGGACAGCAACTGCATGTGGGACTGGAACTGCAACTGCCCTTTCAACTGGAACAGGGTAAGGTTGAGGTACTGGTACTCCCACTCTGTGGGTAACGTGGATATGTCTGGCGACTCCTACTTGACTTAGAGCTGGACCTACTGCGAAACCGGAAGTTGCTCCTAAAGCAGGGGCACCTAGCAGAGCTCCACCTAGTAGAGATCCACCACCAAGACCGATTCCTCCAATGTTCCTACCTGTAACAAGTTAGGAAAATGAAGTCAAGTAGATTGACTCATAGCAAAGGTAGAGTATCTTGATCCGGATGCTTTTTATAAAAAAGGACTACTTTTAGCGAATCTGCATGTTGCCAGGCTTCAGTTTGCGATAAAAATATGTTGAGCATTTTTTTTAAACAAATTCCAAAAATTATTTGTTTAATATTGGTAACAAAAACAATACCTTCTCTTAACTTGATAGTTTTCGAGATATAGAATGTAATACAATATTTGAAAGAGTGCAAAATATACTATTTTTGACCCCCAAAGCAATATAAAAAGCCACATCTCTTTCGTGCTCAAGCAGAAGTTAAATTGAGCGCGGGGCTGGTTGAAAATTAAAGAACAAATGCTTATTATAACATTACTTCCTAAAATGATTTGGAATTTTGTTAGGGGATGTTTGAAGATTATTTAAGAAGTTCGCCAACATAAAATTTTAGTTTTTTGTATTGTTTTCCGGGATCGACAACGGCATATTTTGCTCTTTTTCAAATACAGTATCTCTGATATCTCGAAAACTACTAAATTTAGAGATAAGCTAAGTAAACTTTATGGTTCAGAATGTTCCTAAAAATACAAAAAAACAATGTTAGGAGCAATAAAACCAAGTGTAGCTATCTTCAACTGGGCAAATCGTGACTCTAATATATTTTAATTATGCATTATTTGAACCGAAGTCTTCATTCAGTAGGATTCACTGGATTCTAAGAAAATGTTAACGTTGGTCCAACTCGGTACAATCCCAAAGTACTTCTTTGGTTTCAGGACATATAACTAGGAATCCTAAGAAACGCTTCTGTGGACTATTGATGTACACGTTGACCTGGCCGCTGAATTTAAACAAGAATTGGTTTACCAACATTTCGCAGATCTCAGTAGCCTTTTGGAAGTACTAGCGGAAAGAAGGAACTATCTGTCAAATGGGAGCCAAACAAATATATAGAGAAAAGTGAACTCTACTTTCTAATTAACTATCTTCAGTTTTCTTGGTCTTATTCAGTACATGGATATAGGACAGCGAGACAAATGCAGGACAACTTCCAGAAGTTACATCTTTGGTTGTTTTGAGACTATTTTGACGATTTTCGCAATACAGGTTCTTTTGAAGATATAGAGCAAGCAAAAACTTTCGAAATCGGTTCTTTTCGCAAACAATCATAAGTTATCTTTCTGAATCTAGATAACTTATTCAAAATCTAGATAGAATACAAGTATCCAGACTGATAACTAAAGATTTTGAAAATATTTTGAATAAAGTCAGATAAGTCATCGTATATTGAATTATATCTAAAAACCCCATATGGTTATTGCACACTTTCAGAAGTACCTCGTTTATGAAGCTGTTTAGAGCAACAATTTTGTAATATGCCTATAAAGAATGTGAAAAGTTCGAGAATACAGATTACTGATGGATATTATTGAACTAGAATGAGTTCATTACTTTATATATTAGCTAAAGATGGTACTTTTGAATTCCTGTTGCAGATTTTCAAGCTGCATTCCTGATTTTTCAATACAAATATACTACTAAATGTTTGCTCGCCTTGTATCTACGAAACAAGGCTGCCAAATGTCAAAGTAGCTTTGAATTAATCCATACATTTATCAATCGAATTTCTTCCCAGGTTTAGTTTATTTCAATGTTGATATTTTAAAATTATAAACCTGCTTTCTGTCAGATGATATTAAAGAGAAAAGGTCATACTCATATACGTTTGGCAATGCTTCATTTACAAGATACAAAACTTCATATCCAAAATTATTTCTCATAGAAGGGCTTAAGGGTGGATTATCAACGGAGCGGTGCTGGTAGATTACGTGAATTGTGTATATACAAACAACAGGATTGCCAGGAATCAAGGCTCAGCGAGAGGCTCATTGCTGACAATTTTGCCAGGCACGTAAGCGAAGACAAATTGGTTAGTATATAACCAATGATTATATGGATGATGCTGAGCAAGGCACCGCAGGTGTATATATACTTACTCAGCTGTAAGACGCTGAGAATAAGAGGACTAGATATCTTTGGTGCGAAAACTTAACGCAACTCCACCCACCGTGACGAAACATCACAAGCATTACCATGGTGGGGTGTAATACCGAATATCGTTGAAAAAGAAATCCTCAAAAGAAGTTTGACAACCTGAATTTTGAAAACTTTTTTTCAGGATTCATTGCTTGAAGCTCATCCCTGTGTATCGATCCATTATTCACCATATTTTGTTTTGTTCTGGAAAACTCACCAATGCCAATTCCAATCCCCGATCCAAGAGCTCCGCCATTTCCGTATCCATGTCCAGCTGCATACCCTAGACCTAGACCAATCCCTAATCCCGACGAATGCCCCAGACCTATGCCATGGCCGCCGTACCCGTGCCCAGCTGCGTACCCCAGAGCGGGCAGGGCATGATGCACGCTGTGGTGTCCTAGCGCGCTTCCAAGACCGATACCGTATCCAAGACTGGCGCTCCCAACACCGATGCCGTGAAGGCCGCTGATAGCACCACGTTTCGTGATCTTCTTCTGCGGTTGTTCCTGGTGCGGCTCTTCACCTGCAAAGGCAGCGGAGACGCTCAGCAGTACGATGAATACCTGGAAGGAGAGGGTGATCGTAAAATAATGTGGTGCTAATCCAACAAAGAGAATCTTAAGAACAATATTTGACATAATAAGAGATTTTCATGTTGCACATTATTATTATGTCAGTTTCTTCTCTTCATATTCACAATTGTGTTGTTTATGCTAAGAAAAATATGAACAAATTCAAACAGAGATCCAGAGTCATGAACGTTTTGCGTCCAAACATAAATTAGAAGCTCCCAATGCGTCGGCTTGCCCTCACCAAACGTTATGCTTTTGAAACTGTATAACGCGCTGCCTGTGTAAGCGACGAAAAATGGGAAATTCTTTGTGAGAGATAAAAGAAAAATATTTTTAGACAACCCTTGTCACTCTGCCCAGGAATATTTTAATTATGTCTTTTAAATGTTTTCATTTGTTAGGAATGCGTTATTACAAACTGTTTTGTATGTTTTATATTATGCTTGTTTAGGTGTATGTGGATGACTATTTTCCAATACTACTTTGTTGTCAAATGGAAATAAAAATTATCTACTCTATTCAACTGATCAAACGAATAAGCAACATACATGTACATGAACTAGTTAAAAGGTATGTAGAGATAAACACCTACGTATGTTTATTATACTAAGTAACATATAAATCCGAACACCCAGTTTAAAGTTTTATTTTAATAAAAGTTGGTGAATGTATTTATCTTACTGTAAATAACAAGTAAACAAATTTTCAGCCTTATCAGTTGGACATTCCGGTTTTTATACTGCTTTTTTTTAATTCACTAACGCTCTAAAAATGAATATTTCAGCCGCAGTAAAGAATCAACGTTGGCGGATTTTGGTTCTTGACATCTTTTACGATCGGTTACGATGCCTAGAGTACGGAGACCTGTACGATTTCGTCAACTTAGTGAGTTTGATAAGGGCCATATAGTGGGACTTCGGGAAGCTGGAATTTCTTTTCGGGCAATTGCAGTTAGAGTGCAAAGAAGTGTAGACACTGTGGTTACGTGTTGTCAGGCATGGCTTCGAAAAGGCCGTACGCAAAGAGCAAGGAGCACTGGACGCCGCCGTAGAACAATAGACCGTGAAGATCGCCGCCTAAGATTATTGGCCTTAAGGGACCGTTTCTCCACTACCAGGTCCATTGCAAATGAATGGTTTGCAGAACACGGAATACCTATTGGCATGCGAAGTGTTTACCGACGAATGAGAAGTTTTGGCTTGTTTTCATACCGGCCACACTGGGTCCTCCCTTTAACTCGAGAACACCGACGTAATCGCCTTGAGTGGTGCAGACAACGGTCACTCTGGGATCAGGAATGGAACAGTATCGTCTTTAGTGACGAGTCTCGATTTTGTTTAGGCATGCACGATGGTCGTGTCAGGGTTAGAAGGCGACGTGGTGAAAGGAGGAATCCACAGTTTTTTCTTGAAAGACATGTTCATCACACTGTTGGAGTTATGGTTTGGGGTGCTACAGCTTATGGTTCCAGGCCACCTTTAATCTTCATCAGAGGTAACATCAACGCGCAGCGTTATATCTACGAAGTTCTAGAACCCCATCTTTTACCCTATCTTGACACCCTGGCAGATCCAACTTTCCAACAAGATAATGCCCGACAACATGTTGCAAGAGTCACAATAGACTTCTTTCAACATAATGATGTCACATTGTTACCATGGCCACCAAGATCTCCCGACTTATCCCCAATTGAGCACGTGTGGGATATGATGGGTAGGAGATTGCTCAATTTGCAACGTCCTCCTCAGACTCTAGAAGCACTTCGAGAGGAGTTGGTGGTTGCCTGGAATGAGATACCACAGGAGGACATTGACCACCTGATCAGAAGCATGCCTAGGCGCGTTGGAGAATGCGTAGCACATCAGAGTGCATCCACACATTATTAAAGGTCAAAGGGCTTTAAAGCAGTGCAATCAATTTGAAATTTTTATCATTTACTTATTATGCTTCATTAAGTACTTATACAAAATTTTATTAAAATAAAACCATTTAAACTGGGTGTTCGGATTTATATGTCACTTAGTATATATTTATACCTTATGGAAGTTTCAAGCTGGTAATGTTAGATGTCTCGTATTCATTAAATCTGAGAGTTCCTCATGCTTTATACAATTTTGTGAACTACTTACTAAAATCATTCAAATATATGTTCATTCAAGAATCTTCAGAATAAACTATAATATATGCATTGAGAAAGGTTTGATACTGTAATAATTAGAACGAATCCATTTCTGGCGAAATTTCGACTAGATGATTAGCATAAAGACCCAATAAAGTTTCGCAAAATAAATTTACGACAAAATTATGGAAAACACTTACGGCTGTCCTCATGATGCTACACTTGGATGGTGGATCTAGCAGAAGACTGATACGGTATCGTCTGTCATGATAACTATTTATATCGGTAGCCACCTCTAAAAAATTGCACATTTTAGAGGGGCCATATAGGATCACCTTTCTCGCATATGCATACTGCCCAAAATACGATCTACTTTTTTCGTTATGTAAGATATGCAGGCGACAAATCAGCGATCACGTCGGGCTACTGTTAGATTGGAGTACAATCGGATTTCGTTATTGTCGACTTGCTTGTTCGTGATCAAACACGGTATGGATATGGGAAGTTCGTTGCTTGTAAGTAATTATTTCTAGCACATTATCACTCACTACCATAAATTTGTCAACAGCGACCAAAAAATTAAAGATAGTCATTATACGAGGTACAATGGTTCATCAGTCACATAAATCGATAATGCTGCGGTCATATCTCTACTAGCTCTACTTAAAGTTTTATGAAATTTAGGGCCAATTTTACCAACATTAATATTTGACGGTCAGTTGGACTAATAGGGAAATATCTTATCGAAATGCAATTTGACAGAAGCTCTCAAAGCTCTCTGAATGTGAATGAGTGATTTCTATTGAAATGTTGAAGTCGTGCTTGCCTTATAAATAGGGGTACATTATAGATCTAATATTATGTCTTTGTGCTTTAGAATTAGCTTTCATAGAATTTAAAATTTTTATCATTTCAGAAAAGACGGTCTGTTATTTAAGTGAGACCAATGGGAATGCGGCAAATAATAGGTCGATTTTCTACCTATTATATTTGGTAGGACGGTTTCACTGTTTTTGACGACTGTTCATGCATGGCAAATTAGTTTTGTCTTTATATCACATACAGGGTGTTGTACATAATAGGTACCTCTAGAAATGTACCGATTATTGTTGTTTTGCAAAAAAAAAGGATATAAAACGTATTCCAACTGGTTCATCATCTTTTGTTGCAACAAAAACATTTTTTGTCAATGTATGATCTAGAAATCCACACCAAATGTAAAAAAAAACAGCACATTCTGCATTTCTGGGTCCTAAAACATCGATATTTGTAAAAGTATCCGCATCCACCATGGTCTAGATATTGTAAGTCAGAATCAAACATACCTACCTATTTATGGAAATATATCTCCAAACATTCTTAGATTTTCAATTTTTTGTTCCGGACTTCGAAATGTTCATTATTGATTGCTTCATTGAAGTCTGTGGTGTATCACCCATATATTATAGCGAATTCCACATGCGAACTCTAATGCAACATTTCAATGGAAAATGTATATCTGTAAAATGCAACCACGTAGTTACAAAAATGAGCTGAAATCACCGTGCCAAGTACATCAAAATGTTGGTTACCTAATACCATTCTTGCAATGTTATTATTGTCCATCATTTTGTCTGCTATTTTCTTTTTTATAACAGTTTTTATGTTCGTCAAGTTTCTGCAACATCAAGAAGCTGCTTTTGTGATGCAAATAAGAACTAATGGCAGCATTGACTTTATGATAGTATTTTCTTATTATACTCAGTAGAGCAGGTATTGAGATTTAACATTATTAGCCATGTGTAGATGCTCACATCTGTGTAAAACTTCCCTGGTGGTCGATCAGATTTTATATCGAAACTGTATTATAGAAACCACTTCTGTTTGATACAAGATGTCTTCTAGGATAATCAAAATACAAAGCTCACATGGGTTCTGAATATACGATACAAGGATGAGAGAGGATCACGATTGGGGTACTTCCAAAAAAAAAAAATCAGAAAGAAACCTGTTTAGTGAATGCTTTGAATCTATTATTCAAAGCATTCCGCCGCTATTCGGCAGTAGTACCACCTTACTTCGTATGATAGAGCTTAGTAGCTTTGGTACTTCCTTGGCATGTACCAATATGCAGGCATAATGGACCACCGAAGATTCTGCTTAGCCTTAAAGATATGGTACCATATAAACGTGATTTTTGAAAACAAAATTCCAAATTACCAAAATTAAGTTTGATCAACAAGATTTGGTTGTATAAAATGGTCTTAAGATCCGCAATCACCTACGCATGCGCGGCTAAGTGCTTTCTTGCCAAGACGCACATGCAGAGACTGCAAGTCCTGCAAAACAGAACCCTACGCACAATTACTAACGTCCCTTGGTACGTGTCAAATGAGACCATTCACAGAGATCTAAAGGATTATGTAAAACAACAGGCGCAGCGGTGTTATAATCAAGTAGAATTGCACAGCAACCCTCTGTTGCGTGATTCAGTAGACTAAACAGTCGAGCAAGTTCGCAATTAAATTGTAACTTCAGACCAGCCAAAATTATTTCAGCATACAAAACCGATCAAAATTATTTTTTGGAGTTACAAAATAATTCAAAACGTCAAAGCAATAATGCATAAGCTATTTCAAATGATTTACTTCTTTTCTTTGCTTTATTTCTTCCTACCTTTCTTTCCTTCTTTCCCTTTTCCCCTTAAACATGTTTGGTATCTGCGTAGCCAGACCTGATCGACTAACAGACCGACGAGACCATCAACTAAGAGTTAAAGGTCCACCGGACCGCTCTGACGAATAACTTTATAAACGTGATTTCTGTAATACAGTTACGTGCAAAATTGTTATAGGCGTCTCAAGAAATCTCGCAAAGGAGGTATTCTCGCAAACTAAAAATATCATTTTTTGAAAGATACAGATCATGCATAAGGGCCAATGGTGACAACAGTGAACACTTAGTCTAGAGAATTTAATGAAAGCTTCCACTTATAACATTAATCCTGCCCTCATTCGTATCATAAGAAAAAAATACTGATTTCGATGAATCAATTGAAGGTGAATAGTTTGAAACAAATCCGGCAAAAAATTAACTAGGCGAGTGTTGATTTTTTATTAAAAAATTGATTTCTCATTATCCCGAAAGCCATCTATCCCAGATAGATAGTAAAAATTGCGTCAAAGATGTTCGTGCATATTTTTCTGAGCCCTAAAGAAAGAAAAACGGTAATAATACAATGTATGAATACAATCTTCTTACAGCACTATAAATAGATATTGTAGCAGCTGTTGGAAATGTATAATACTTGTACGTGCTCGGAATTAAAATTATATAAAAGTGACGCACTTTGAAGAAATCTGATAAGCTACCCCTAAAGCACAAAAATACAAGGAGGCCCAAACTGGTGCGCACATGTTAGATGGGTTGAGTTATCAATTTAAGAAGTAGGCAACCTCATAAAAAATCAAGTTTATTTTCAATGCTCAATAGTATAAAGTAAAAAAATACATTCTTAAAATCCAGATTTTCTTCAGCTGTTCATGAAACTAACTAAAAATTTAAAAAATAGTTTATTCAGTTTAGAAAGCCCCTTTATTTCAAGTTTTTGAACAAAAGCGTGTTACACCCTTTTTCCATCCCGCTGCCAAAACGTAACACGAATCTATTTGAATCGAATCGGAAAAAATATTTTAGAATCTTTGGTCCGTTCTATGAATAGCTATGTAAATAGAAGCTTCTTTTTGAAAACATATTTTTTCATTTCCTTTATTTCTTACTTTTTAGTGTTTCTGATCTCAAATATACTAAGTGACATATAAATCCGAACACCCAGTTTAAATGGTTTTATTTTAATAAAATTTTGTATAAGTACTTAATGAAGCATAATAAGTAAATGATAAAAGCCCTTTGATCTTTAATAATGTGTGGATGCACCCTGATGTGCTACGCATTCTCCAACGCGCCTAGGCGTGCTTCTGATCAGGTGGTCAATGTCCTTCTGTGGTATCTCATTCCAGGCAACCACCAACTCCTCTCGAAGTGCTTCTAGAGTCTGAGGAGGACGTTGCAAATTGAGCAATCTCCTACCCATCATATCCCACACGTGCTCAATTGGGGATAAGTCGGGAGATCTTTTTGGCCATGGTAACAATGTGACATCATTATGTTGAAAGAAGTCTATTGTGACTCTTGCAACATGTGGTCGGGCATTATCTTGTTGGAAAGTTGGATCTGCCAGGGTGTCAAGATAGGGTAAAAGATGGGGTTCTAGAACTTCGTGGATATAACGCTGCGCGTTCATGTTACCTCTGATGAAGATTAAAGGTGACCTGGAACCATAAGCTATAGCACCCCAAACCATAACTCCAACAGTGTGATGAACATGTCTTTCAACAAAAAACTCCTTTCACCACGTCGCCTTCTAACCCTGGCACGACCATCGTGCATGCCTAAACAAAATCGAAACTCGTCACTAAAGACAATACTGTTCCATTCCTGATCCCAGAGTGACCGTTGTCTGCACCACTCAAGGCGATTACGTCGGTGTTCTCGAGTTAAAGGGAGGACCCAGTGTGGCCGGTATGAAAACAAGCCAAAACTTCTCATTCGTCGGTAAACACTTCGCATGCCAATATGTCTTCCATGTTCTGCAAACCATTCATTTGCAATGGACCTGGTAGTGGAGAAACGGTCCCTTAAGGCCAATAATCTTAGGCGGCGATCTTCACGGTCTGTTGTTCTACGGCGGCGTCCAGTGCCCCTTGCTCTTTGCGTACGGCCTTCTCGAAGCCATGCCTGACAACACCTAACCACAGTGTCTACACTTCTTTGCACTCTAACTGCAATTGCCCGAAAAGAAAGTCCAGCTTCCCGAAGTCCCACTATACGGCCCCTATCAAACTCACTAAGTTGACGAAATCGTACAGGTCTCCGTACTCTAGGCATCGTAACCGATCGTAAAGGATGTCAAGAACCAAAATCCGCCAACGTTGATTCTTTATTGCGGCTGAAATATTTATTTTTAGAGCGTTAGTGGATTAAAAAAAAGCAGTATAAAAACCGGAATGTCCAACTGATAAGGCTGAAAATTTTTTCACTTGTTATTTACAGTAAGATAAATACTTTCACCAACTTCTATTAAAATAAAACCATTTAAACTGGGTGTTCGGATTTATATGTCACTTAGTATAAATAGTTTTGTAATTTCTATACAACTTTCATGTTTTATTAATAGGTATTATAAAATTTCGGTGGATATAATCGTATAATGACATTTCCCTTTTATTTGATGTACCCATATCAAAAGGGCGCCATGTTGGAGTTCCAATGTCATTGATTTGCTTGTTATGTTTCTCTCAAAAAGTCCTTCAATTTGATACCTATATCATAGAGGTGACTATCATAATTCGGCGGTAGCCTGATGACTAAGAGTATATACTAAAGTCCATCTTTTACAACAAGAAAGCCATTAGAAATCAAATGCAAAAATACGATAGTAAATTGAGATCATTCAATGGAATGGATTCGTCATTTTTTTACGCAAAATTTGAGATATTTGAAAGACGGTTGAATCTAGGTATAGAATTATAGCTAGATGAAATGTGTTTTGAATCTCACGTAGAATCTAAAAAATCAATAATATGCAGGGTGTTCTATTTAATTAAGCAAGTTGCTTGGGACGCCCTGTATGCTTGCGCTAACCTCCTATGTTTGAATGCTTGTACGAAATTACTCAACGCCTTTTACATAGTCGGAATGAAATTCTCAAATACTTTTATTTTCCCGAATCGTGTCGTGAATGACGATTTCATTTTTTATGTTCCACATACGAAGTTCGTGGCAATGAATCAATCAATGCCCATTGTTTACCAGGTGACAAAAAAGTGAATGATGCTACTAGATGCATACGCAAACTAGCCAAGCGTCGTTATATAAGCCATTTGTATATTTCGGCTGGTTGACAAATTCAGTCGATGAACAGCTCTTATGTAAATCTGAACCAGATGAAATTTATCAGTTAGTATGGCAAGGTCTCCATAATTTAGCCAATCATTTCAGAAATCTCCAGAAGATTGCATTAGTAGGTGTTATAATCCGCAGGCTTAGGTCAAGTCGACAACATACTGAATTTACGGCGTGGCGCTCGGAAAACTGAAGGTAATGTAGTCGAACCCTTGTATAGTATTTTTCACGAGTACACATTACGATAAGACAACAGATGTTCATCTAGTAATATTTCAAAATTCTCCTTATCGGCAAGTGACACATAATTCTGACGAATCCGTCAGGTAGACAGATCCGTATTTTGTTGTTTTTTTTGTACGTTACGAACTCATTTTGTACTTTTATTTGGAAAAGTTCCTTAGCATACAAAAACGCTACAAGCAAAATGGCAGCTAATGATCATGACCACATTTCAAACCAGGCAGGAATGAAATGAGATGAACAGTTTTCAACTTTGTTAATCATCTCTACTGTTCAGAACTTGACACATTTTGAGGGGCAATTAACCACACAACTACTGGAAACGACAACAGTCTGTTTTACTCACTTACCTTGTAATGAATAAATCGCAGATGTACTATAATAACGTTCTGATAAACACTTGTCCATGTTTACTTAGTATATTTTATTTTCAAAATTCGCAGTCTCTGAAAGTATACAGGGTGTTTCAGTTTATTGTTGCATAACTTTAAGATTCGATAGAACTTTAAAAATTAATGCATAAAGTCTATATAAACATGGGTCGAAAAATGCGTTGCTTCCAAAATACAGGGTGTTTAAATTTACTTTCTAAAATAGTTTTTTTTTAAATATTTCGAACAATATTTGATGCATAACAGTGAAAATTGGTATACAAGGGTTTTTTGGTACGACAAAACGAACCATGGGCATAGTTTTACTGTAGCCGGTAGAGGGCGCTCTCTACTGTACCTGTAGTGTATTAAAATGACCGAAAATTTTTTCCTAGTGCAATTTTTTGCTTTTTGAATAAAAAAACTGATTCTTCGCACTTTTCAACATAAAAAAGAGTTTTCGTTATAGTTAGCCGTTTTTGAGATATTTCGATTTTTAACCTTCGATGCATTTTTAATTATTTATGGGAAAATAATATTTTTTTTACATTTTGGATTTGGGCATTACAAGTAATTAAGATGTTCGTTGAGATTGTGTTTTTAAACACTAACTCCAAATGAACACAAAAAACAGAATATTGATTTGTTTAATTTGCCAGTATTATTTTTAATAAATTAAATGAATATTGGATGCTATTGGATAGTTAGGACAAACATACAAAATCTAAAGTAGTTGCTCGAAATGTAAACCCAATTGTTCAAAACACAATTCACATCTACGAATGATCGAACGTGGTATAGCATTATTCAAATAAGGCCTTATTTCATCACATGCATTCCTGATTCTGTCTATTAGCATATCTCTTGTGGTTACGGGAGTCTGGTACACTTTTTCTTTTAGAAACCCCCACACAAAGAAAGGTAGGGTCCAAATAATCGATTACGGTAGATACCAATCGACACGTTCACACTAAATTCATGCTGAAAATTTCTTTCCCGAACTGCATGCGGATTTTCATGCGACCAAATATGTTGATTATGAAAATTTACCACTCCACGTCTAGTGAAGCATGACTCATCGGTCCATAAAACGTTACTTAAAAACTCCCTATTATTATCAGTTCTATCAAGAATCCACTGACAAAATGTGATTCTTCGTTCTCCGTGCCCTGGCTGAGTCGTCTATGGTCATTTCTAAGAACACGGTGAACATGGCTTGCTGAAATTCCCAAGGCACCAGAAACTCTCCTAACGCTTGTGGTCGGATCTCTAACAAACTCACGCAGAATCATACGGGTAAATCTGCGCTGACGCACATTTATGTTTTAATCCCTTTGGAGATTTCCAAAACCATTTTCAATTATTTGGCGATGCATTCTTACAAATACTGAGCGAGTTGGATGTCGTCTGTTTGGAAATCTTCGTGCGTATTCTCTGGCTGCTTCTGCTGCGTTTACATTTACAAAGCCATACACAAAATGAATAACTAACTCTTGATTGGAGAATAAAAATGACATTTTTATAAAACTTACAAAAAAAAAAACAGGTGAAAGAAACTAAATTTCGTTCATTCACAATTGCAAAAAAACGTTTCAGGTTTCAACAGACAACAAAACTAATTGTCAACTAATTGACGTTTAACCTTATTCTGCTTTCAATTCAAAAATATTTGCAGGCGCAGCCTACTTCTAAAAATTATCGAGATACTGACTTTTTAACGTTATTTTATCATACATAATTAAAAATGCATCGAACCTTAAAAATCGAAATATCTCAAAAACGGCTAACTATAACGAAAATTCACAAGAGAGCTTTTTTATGTTGAAAAGTGCGAAGAATCAGTTTTATTATTGAAAAAGCAAAAAATTGCACTAAGAAAAAATTATCGGTCATTTTAATACACTACAGGTACAGTAGAGAGCGCCCTCTAGCGGCTACAGTAAAACTATGCCCATGGTTCGTTTTAAAAACTATTTTAGAAAGTAAATTTAAACACCCTGTATTTCGGAAGCCACGCATTTTTCGACCCATGTTTATATAGACTTTATGCATTAATTTTAAAAGTTCTATCGAATCTTAAAGTTATGCAACAATAAACTGAAACCCCTGTATACTCGTATATGTGAACAACAGCTCTGAACATGGTTCTAAGTTTTACTAGACTTTTCTCGATTTATTATTGCCAACTTACAGACTAATACAAAAATGTCACTTGCTGATCGGCAGTTCACCTCAATAGACGTCAAAACGTAATGGATACTAGTGAAATAGGGTCTGCATGTGCAGAGTACTTCACTTTGGACCTTGTGCAGAATGAGGGTGTAATTCTTGTGGATACTCCCTAGTATAGAGCATATTTTTACTGGAGTACTCGGGGAGGCAGCTTTGGGGCTAAAGTCTGCCCAGGAACGGTAAGGCTACACTAGCGCATAAAGACCGAATTTTTTTTTTGGGAAAAATTGAAGAAACCAGCAGAAATGATCATTTTTAAGGAAAATAGATGTGCCTGTTGCCTTTTTATTAGAATCAATCAATTTACAAGTGATATTTAGGTGTAATTGCTTCTAATAAGACCAAATTGAATTCTAATTCGCGCGCCTCTGATTCATTTGAACTACAACGCATTTTAGCGTCATGAGTTGGGGGTCTCACAGAATTTTTTTGGACGAACCCTGAGTTTCGGTGTTAACAACCTCAGAAGCAGGAAACTATACCAATCCAAGTAGTTGGGTCCGTCTCACCTTCCGGTTACTTCCATTGTTGTACAAAGCTAATCAGTTTCATTTGTAGTATAGAAATTGTAGATTGAAGTATTTTGAAAGTCGAAAATAAATATTCCGCTGCTCAACGCCATCGTCCTTTAATTTCCATAATATTATAAATTAGAAATTGTACAAAATAAATAGCATACGGAATAAATACAGGTCGTAATAATACATTACAAAACAATAATATTCACAGTACAAGTTCGATAGCTAATTGGGGACGCACAAACCACAAAAAAATTAAGGCATCACATTTTTTAGTACTATCCTTGTGACTGTATTAAAATGCAGAAATCCTACATACTGGAAAGTTGAATTTGCTGATATTGAATGTAGATATGAGCATAAGTCGTAGTGAGGCTATTACTATCGGTAAAAGAAAAACTGTCACAAACTTGTTCGAGGACAAAGCTTATCTGGATACTACAAGCAGATATATTAAATATTCTTTGACAATATATTTGTGAATGAGTTTCTTTATATATGAATGTAAAAGCATTACCAGATGTCAAATGTTTTGGAAATGACCCACTAGTATTTTTGAAATTAGGCAAAAATGCCCAAATCTAATAGTAAGTAGATACATCTACAACCATTTTGGATACATCACAAACATTAAGTTTACAATTTTTTTCAACCTAAGCTCAATAAAGCTGTTGACTAATGCCGTACAACTGCGTATCAAAATCTTCAAGCCGTTGGACATCAATCGCATGTTGCTGGACTGGACTTGGAGTTGCGTAGGAGTTGGTGGTTTTTAAAGGTCTTGGAGGAAGTGGATCTCCGAAGGCTACTCTGTCTGGAGGCAGATACTCGTATCCGTTTTGGTCCCTTGGCAGTGGACTACCTGGAAGAACAAAATGAATCGTGGTCAAGCTTTTAGATCATCATTGTATTAGACGAGCTGGACACTAGTCTAATCATATCAGCAAATTTCCCCGAAATAATTGTAAAGTTTAGTTTTATTGCTGCAAGTTGTTCAAGGGTGTATTTAAAACATGAACGCATAAAATGGGTACACCAATCTTTGTGGGAAAACTTTTTATTTGACAACAAAGAATGAGAAGTGTTTTTTGGGATTCAATCGATAATATTGACATGAACAAAAAACTTTCCATACAAGATTTTTAGGTATTTATGAGACCTACAAAATGAGACTACACATGAAAAGATCCTACTAACAGCAAAAATGTTATGGCCGAAAAATGAGGCAAAATGCAGGTTTTGGCACTTGTTGGTAATGCCACGATAATTTCACGCAATTACTTGAAATTTTTCAAATCTGTAGGATTAATACTTCTAAATAACAACAACAAAACTGGAGTATATTGGTCAAGTAGTTTTTTGAGAATTTCTCCCAGAACACCTGTTTTCTGGCCATAACTACTAGTTTATTGAGCAATATATACTAAGTGACATATAAATCCGAACACCCAGTTTAAATGGTTTTATTTTAATAAAACTTGGTGAATGTATTTATCTCACTGTAAATAACAAGTGAACAAATTTTCAGCCTTATCAGTTGGACATTCCGGTTTTTATACTGCTTTTTTTTAATTCACTAACGCTCTAAAAATGAATATTAATAATAATATAATAATATTTAATAAAGAATCAACGTTGGCGGATTTTGGTTCTTGACATCCTTCACGATCGGTTACGATGCCTAGAGTACGGAGACCTGTACGATTTCGTCAACTTAGTGAGTTTGATAGGGGCCGTATAGTGGGACTTCGGGAAGCTGGACTTTCTTTTCGGGCAATTGCAGTTAGAGTGCAAAGAAGTGTAGACACTGTGGTTAGGTGTTGTCAGGCATGGCTTCGAGAAGGCAGTACGCAAAGAGCAAGGGGCACTGGACGCCGCCGTAGAACAACAGACCGTGAAGATCGCCGCCTAAGATTATTGGCCTTAAGGGACCGTTTCTCCACTACCAGGTCCATTGCAAATGAATGGTTTGCAGAACACGGAAGACCTATTGGCATGCGAAGTGTTTACCGACGAATGAGAAGTTTTGGCTTGTTTTCATACCGGCCACACTGGGTCCTCCCTTTAACTCGAGAACACCGACGTAATCGCCTTGAGTGGTGCAGACAACGGTCACTCTGGGATCAGGAATGGAACAGTATTGTCTTTAGTGACGAGTCTCGATTTTGTTTGGGCATGCACGATGGTCGTGCCAGGGTTAGAAGGCGACGTGGTGAAAGGAGGAATCCACAGTTTTTTGTTGAAAGACATGTTCATCACACTGTTGGAGTTATTGTTTGGGGTGCTATAGCTTATGGTTCCAGGTCACCTTTAATCTTCATCAGAGGTAACATGAACGCGCAGCGTTATATCCACGAAGTTCTAGAACCCCATCTTTTACCCTATCTTGACACCCTGGCAGATCCAACTTTCCAACAAGATAATGCCCGACCACATGTTGCAAGAGTTACAATAGACTTCTTTCAACATAATGATGTCACATTGTTACCATGGCCACCAAGATCTCCCGACTTTTCCCCAATTGAGCACGTGTGGGATATGATGGGTAGGAGATTGCTCAATTTGCAACGTCCTCATCAGACTCTAGAAGCACTTCGAGAGGAGTTGGTGGTTGCCTGAAATGAGATACCGCAGGAGGACATTGACCACCTGATCAGAAGCATGCCTAGGCGCGTTGGAGAATGCGTAGCACATCAGGGTGCATCCACACATTATTAAAGGTCAAAGGGCTTTAAAGCAGTGAAATCATTTTGAAATTTTTATCATTTACTTATTATGCTTCATTAAGTACTTATACAAAATTTTATTAAAATAAAACCATTTAAACTGGGTGTTCGGATTTATATGTACACTTAGGTGGTTCGTTCAAAGAGCACTTAATATCAAAATACACGTGTTTACCTTGCCGATATTAATCACAAACCATACCGAAAGATAAACGTTATTTTTATGCGAAAAACAAAGGTTACGTGTTTTTCTTCTAAACAAATTCAAACATTTCGTATTTGTGAGTAATTGAACAAATGTAAATGTGTAATGTAAATGAGTAAATCGCATTTTTCTCACAAATACAAAGTGTTTGAATTTGTTTAGAAGAAAAAACGTAACCCATCCTTTTTTGCATAAAAATAAGATTTATCTTAGTGATTGGTTTGCGATTCTTATCGGCAAGGTAAACTAATGTATTTTGCTATAAAATGCCCTTTGAACTATGGCTGGAAAACCGGTGTTTTGGGATCAACAATTAGAAATTCTCAAAATTACTTGATCAATCTACTCCAATTTTATTGTTATTTAGAAGTACGAATCCTACGAGTTTGAAGAATTTCAAATATCTGCGAGAAACCATCGTCGAATTACCAACAAGTGCCAAAACCTGCAGTTTGCCTCGTTTTCGGGCATAACTTTTTTGGTATTAGTCAGATCTTTTCACATTTGTTGTTGTTTCTCATTTTGTAGGTCTCATAAATACCTAAAAATCCTATATGAAAAGTTTTTTCGTTTCTGCCAAGACTTTCGGTTGAATCCCAAAAAACACGTTTTGTCATTCTTTGTTGTTGAATAAAAAATTTGCAGCAATAAAACCAAACTTTACAATTATTTCGCAAACCAGGAGTATTTTCGTCTAATATGATTAGACTATATTGGATCAACATGAATAGAAAGGTTGTCAGGTGGTAAGCCGGTGCAAAATTTGAACATATTTTTTAACAGATTACAAAAAATTGGCTTTCTTGCTCCGATCAGGCTTAGGCTTCTTCGGTCCATCTAAAAAAATCCCCAGTGAGTCTTGTCTAAGATTGACCGTTTCCGAATTAAAAGCGATTTAAAATTTGAAAAAACCTAAGTAAGTTTATCTTCAATGCTTAGATGCTCGATTAAAAGTTATTACTTCGCTAGGGTCTCAAATAAACTTCAAACCTTTCCCTACAAGATCCCGGAGAATATATTATGTGTAGTTTATTCATTTTGAAGTATTGTTATTATATTGTTCATACAGCGCTATGGACCACTCATACCAGCGCCTCGTATGTAAGCGTTATTAACAACTAAATGTCCTTCTGGGTCTTGTAGGGGAAAGTTTGAGCTTTAATTTAGTTACTTGGTAGTGTCAAAGATAGTAAGTTTTGACGGAGTTTTTGAACATTAAAGATGGCCTCTTTTAGTCGTCTTTAACTCAAAAAAGCTTAAATTTACTGAAATGTATCTAATGACTTTTTTGTTCACAAGGATAAAAAAGTCTCAACAAACAATACTTCACCATTTTTGAAGAGAAAGTTGCTTCAACAATTTTGGACCGAATTATCGCCAGATATTTACGTTAAGGGCGATTTAGCATTCATGGTTATTAAAAAAAAAGAGACTCGGAAAATTTTTACACGAATGTAAGGTTTTCGCTTCGGTTGTGTGTTGTATCGTACATGTTCGGAGGTACAAAAGAGTTTCTAGTGCGACAAAAATAGCGAATCGTTAAGCCTTCCGTTACGTCATTTTGGACAGCAGATAACGAATGTCGACGAATGATCAATAAAGTGAACCGTGGTAATTTGACAGTACTGACTACTGACGTTCATGACAGGTTAATTTTTTCGATGTTGACGTGAAGCTGATCCCAATATTTCAAAGGCTCGTTTAACTTATTCATAGAAAAGTTACGGTAATATTTTTGACCAAACCGGATAAGAATTATAGAACCACGAGGGGACTTGATAACAACATACAGAGCTTTGCATGGAAATGAAATATTCTCACTTTTCCGTCTCAACGCCAACCACCTGAGAGGCCACAAGTTTAAACTAATGAAAGCAAAGTTTAGAACTACAGCTTGCCAATATTTCCTATCCATCCGAGCATTAGATACTTCGAAAAAGCTGCTCTACGATGTTCTTAATGCGTTCACAGTTAACAGATTCAAGATTCGTTAGCTTAATTTCTAAACTTTGGCGTTTTAAGCTTCTGGTCAACTCCTTTATTATGTTTAATAATAATTCAATTTATTCAGAACACTGATTATTTCTTGCATTTATCTTTATCTGTGATCTAAAACTCATATTTCTATTATATTTTAACCATTATTTCATTATGATTCGAAATTATATTAATTAAGCCTACCTACACAAATTCCGGCAACAGAGCTGAATAAAGAAAATATAACTTTACGAAATAAGCTCTATTCTCCGTAACTAACCGTGCTTTTTCATCTTGATATCGGATAACGGAGGTTTGTCTCGCTGCTGCCAAAAATCAAAATAAGGAAAATCATAAAGAGACAGCTATGGTAAGATGTAAAAGAAAACTCTCGCAACCTATCAAGTATGAAACTGGCATTAGACAAGGAGATTCGCTGAGCCCACTAATATTTAATCTGATAATGGATGAAATCATAAAGAAAGTTAAAAAAAAGAAGAGGATATAGAATGGCAGAAAAAGAAATGCAGATAATATGCTACGCCGACGACGCCATAATAATAGCCGAAAATGAAGATGACCTACAAAGATTAATTGAATAATACGAAGATACGGCGCTCATACAACATGGTGATTTCAACAGAGAAAACTAAATCGATAGTGATAAACTGGTCGTAAATAACAAAATAATAGAACAAGTGATGGACACGGAATACTTGAGAATCAAACTGTCAAGCGATGGAAAAGTGGAAGAAGAAGTACAAAAACAAGTGAACATGGCGAACAGAGCAGCAGGATGTCTCAACAATACAATCTGGACAAACAAATACCTCACAACGGAAATGAAAACTGGGATATATAAATCAACAATAAGGCCGATAATGACGTACATAGCGGAAACAACAGCAGATACGGCGAAAACACAAAGATTATTGGAAACAGCAGAAATTAAAG